CAGAGTTATGTTCTTGCGACGATAAAGAGTCACAAACTTTCAAATATGTTTATTTGTCAGTTGAGTTCTTAGTTCAAGTATACTGCTATGCAACTATGGAGAAAATTAAATTTTTCTTTAACAATTTACAATGAATTGACAATTTGATTTAACTTGAAACGTCATGATCTTTTGCTTATAGCACAATAAATAAATTTGGAAATCGTTGCAGTGAAGCAAAGTTTATTGTGCTCATATCACAAATACTGCTTCTGTTCACTATTTGCACAGAATGTAAGTCAGTTAAGCCAGCAAACAAGACTTGCTGTTTAGGTAAAATGGTCTTGGTGACATCCAACTTTTTCAATCCCCATTGTGCAAAACTAGAAAATACTAGGAACAGTCAACCACTAATGACAGGGAAAAAATGGCCACTGGAAATTTTCTCCTTTGTTTCTCTACATTGGTTTTTGGGCTTTCCCTTCCAAAATTCTTCTGTTTTTTCAAAATATGGGACTGACATGTTTCTTTATCAAGACTTATAACAAAGTAAGTGCCAGTAATGACTTCAAATAAGTTATAAAATCTCATCTGCCATGTGTGCAAATGTTTATACAAGTTTGAACATTATCATTCATTTGTTTCCACAAAAAACTGTCTTCCATCATTCATCTGTGTTGAAAAAAGGATAGAAACGATCTTGTTGGAAAACTTGAAGCTACCAAAAACTTTTCCTGGTGATGGTCAGCATGATAGCATGGACGGCAGTGCTAAATACTATGCCTATACTATCTTTTCTTGCACAGTTCCCTACATCATTGATTTCTCATTGGTTCAGGTAGGGCAATACAAAAAATATCAACTTGGTTATTTCTTGGTCTGTCATTTATCGGATACGTTGAAGAGAACGTTATTTTCCGACATGTTGGAAAAAGCATTATTAATCGGGCATGTGGAATGTGCAGAAGTAAATGATATTCAATGGATGATACAAACAACCAACATTTATTTCAGCTCAAGTATTGCATGTATGTCAGTGTATTGACAGCATAGGCACACAAGACGAGCAGCTTCCCACCCCCCAAGACAGTTTAAAGATTGAAAAGATAGTTAAATTTTTAATGTTAGTCGTACGTAAAACGGCGGAACATTTTAGTGAGTTGGGAAAATTATTTACTGCCCCAGTACAGTTATGATTTACTGCCAGTATGCCTATGATTGTATTTGCCAATATTTAATGCCAGCACACCTATGAATAACAGTATTGTGAACCAACAGTATTCCTACATGATATATTGGTAAAGTATGATACAGGATGATACAAAGTCCCTGGCAGTATGACATTATATTTGACATTATTTTAGTCAGTTTCAGTTAAGGGGTCATGTAGTACAGGGTGTCCTTTAAAATTTCCTCACATGGGTAAGAGTCAGGTTTTGGACAATAAACAGGATGAGCCTTCAGACAAGTGCATGTTACAGAATACAGAGATACCTTTGAATGCAAAACCTATCAGTATAGACCCAGAGCAAGGGGGGCTAAATATTCCAGTCATGGTATTTCACAATAGTAATTGGGAATGAAATACAGAAGAGAGGTGGCAAATTTTTTAAAATTACTTTACTGTAAAATCTTTTTATTTTTTTCAAACACTATTTTACTGTAAACTGGAACTATTACATGAAAGGAACTTTTGTTTATTACTTTTGCACAAGCTATGACATTTTCTGCAAAAGTACTACTTGGCTTTAGGAGGATTTTTTAATAAAACACATTGAAAATGGTACGACAGTTGAGACAACCGTCACAAGACAACTGCCTTGTCCCTTTGACTTTGATTTGAATGTTCTACCACCAGCTACACAACAATATATTTTAATTCCAGTTTTATAACTAGGTCTGGTGTTTGCTTCAATGTGGAAGCAATTGATCTCGAATCATGAACAAATAAGTTCACAAAATTTTTGCGCCACGGCCAAGATACTTTCTGCCATGACAGCTATGTGCCCAAAGCAGTTTTGAATGAGAGCATAACAAACAATTTTTCTATCTCAAAATGAATAGCATGTCAATGTTCTTTTGAAGCTATTGACAGCAATCAAAGTATTGTTCTGTTGCTGAACTAGTCAAGCAAAATGTGTTAAATGCAAAAGATATGGCATGGACTGGGTTTATTTGTTTGTTGGCACTCTCTTCAGTTACATCCTGTAGCATTTTTTCTTATTATCCTGACATACACTCTAGTGCTTATAGGTGGAATTTATTATTTAACCAAAGAATTGAACCTCAAATTCTATCAAGGGCTTGTGCTTCCACTAGTAATTATTTGCGAGTTTGGACTGAGACAACCATGACAACTAAGGCTCTTCCATATGGTACATCTCACTGTAGCACTTTGGGTCCTTGCAATGCTAGTTTTTCTATTTCATCTTCTGCCTTGCAATTTACAGATAATAAAACTGCAAATGTGGTTTGCCTAGAAATCCATGTTGGTTTTTGTAGAGAAAAGGTGAGAAGTATGGAAATTCATGAAATTGAAAAACACATTGACACATTGGCCTGATGCTAAAAGTGCAATAAAAAGGCATATAAGTACGTCATCGTATCGGTCACGGAAAATAACAAGCTACGGCTATTTGTCTGTGAACTAATTTGATTGGCTTGTTGTCAATGTCGAAATGGTTAGCTAAAAATTCACTTTCATTAAAAAATTGAAATAACAATTGTAAAGATGGAGACACACCATGCTAGCCATTTGAAAGTGGGCGATTCATTTAAATGTTTTGAAGACGTAAAACAAGCTGTAAAGGATTATGAAATTGCACATTTTATGAATTATAAGAGAGACTGGCGAACAATGGCAAGCGCCAAAAGAGTCAAGATTAATAATCCAAATCCCGACCTTGTGTACTACGAAATAAAATACACGTGCATGAAAGGTGGAAGGATTATAAAAGCCAAGCTAGTAGTCAAGACCAAATCAGAAGTAAATACATTCCATCATTTTACCACTATAATATTATCATATAATATTATATTATTCTGTCTAGTTCCTTTAAAGAGAACTGTAGCTCTTTTATTCAATTCCGTGTGTGCATCCAAAGATGGACAAAACCTAGTTGTAGTAAATATAGAAACAGCCCACAATCACCAATTATGCAAAGTACAAAGAAGATAGATTTTATAAATACTTTTGTTTGCTCTCATCAGTATAATCATAAACGATGCAGTCAGTTCTTAGAGCCTTAATTTTTTTTTCTGTTCATAGGAAACTGTTCAGTTTCTTCCAAAACAAGGCAGACTTGACAAACAACTGCTTGTTGATGTCAAAAAGATTTTAAGTACTAGACCTAACAAGAAACTTTTCCAAGATCATATCCGCTAAGCCACTGGCAAATTTGTAAAAATTAAATCATTTCTTTCTGTTTTGACTGAGCAACTTCATAAGCCTTATAATGTTCAGAAAACCTGACAGTCTGTTTTCTTGAAACAACAAACATGGCATTTGCAACATTTTGGTTAATGATATAAATACCAATAACTTCCCAAAACTGGGGAAATTCAACATAATCATAACCAATGTGGACAGTAGCTCCTACTTTATATTTTGGTGCCCAATTTCAGTGCCTTTGCAAATAAACGTGCTATTTCCACCTTCAGCAGACTGTAGGCGATAACAAACTCCTTCTTGGTGCCTCTGCCAACGAGTATGGTAGGTTTATAAAATTACCAATCACTATTGCCAACCTCTTAAAGTAATGAAGATCATATCTTCATTTAAAGTAATGGTGTTTTGCTTCGTAGCGCATGCACGAACTTCACACAAGAGGCCCAAATTTGTTAATTGATACAGAATACAAGCAAGAATTGTAAATTAGTTTTGAAAACTGCAGGTTTTTGAAGCCACATGGTTTGTAATTGTAAATCAGAATTCTAAACTTTTTGACACTGCTCATTGTAACCTTGCACTGTTTGCAAAACAAAGTCATCCTCATGAAACTAAACAAATAAGTTAAATTAAGTCCACCCTAAACACATACAGTATCTACCACTGAAACCATTTAAATTAAACCAACACATTGTCTGAAGTAAAGCACTTTTACATAAACTAAGTACTTTATATTTTTCAAAGTTTACATACTCTGGAGAAAGCATAAACCATGCAATAGATGCAGTGGCAAGTGGCAATTAAGTATTACTGTAGCTACATTATATATACCATTTCAGTTATTTCTGTAGCATTTCCCATACAGACTCTGCATTTTCTGTAAGACTGTGATCCTTGCTTAAACCCACCAAGATATTGTGAACCAAGATTATTTCCAGATATAAATGCAATTGTTCCTGCAAAGCATCTTCGCTGATTATTTATTATAAACTCATAGCCACCATCCTAAAAAGTTAATTTATTCCTTAATTTATTAGAGTTCTTAAAAGAACAAAACATGAAAAACATGCATCGACACTAGTCCAATAAATGCTCTTAGCATAGGTTCTACACCATATATCTTGAGATGCTTACTAGACACTAGTACAAGTAGTTGAATGGAATTGATGTGAGACCAGTGTTCCGGGCGTATATTGCCCAATGTATAATAAAAAGCGGCTATATGAAATGCAAAAGGTAACCAGAAAATTTAATGAAATAGACATTTTTAAACCTACAGTATGGGAATTACTAGCACATTAAATTAAATTATGATACTAACCTAATTTATGTTTGTTAGCTCTTGATCCTAATGGGTTACAAACTTCTATTTCATCAAAATAAATAAGAAGTTGCAATGCCAATGGATCTTTACTGAATAGTGGGTGCTCTTTAAAGCCTTCACCATCACAATAATCAGACAAAAAATTACTGTTGCAAAAATGAGGATTTTCCACCTACAAAATTGGATCGGATAGAGTCAGGTGCAGAACAAAGCTAAGGCAATGGCAATATTAAAATTTTCTATATTCAGCATTGTGTTCGATGGACAATTTTATACATACATCACATGCACATGTAATCAACACAAATCTCATTATGAATTGACTCATCATTAAGAAGCTGTTGAAGACTTTCCAACAAGGTAATATAGTATGCATCATCTGTTTTTTTGAGATCTCTCAATCTATTTCCCCTTCCTTTCTTAGTGTGGTATTTTCCAAGAACAATCTTTTGTGGTTCCTAAAAAGTGAAATATTGATTGTAAAATTTTGATTACTTTTTTTATAAATTTCTAAACGAATTTTACAACTTACCACAAGATTAAACTCCTTGTAGTATTCATATTGGAGAAACTCTTGGTCAATACCAGCAAAAGGATTTGAGATTGGGTTGTCTTCATCAAATAACTCATTCACCTCTGGTAGGTTGTTTAAGTCAATCCCAGCGTTTTTAAGGCAGCTAGTTATACCAGACTTTAAAAGGTTAATGCTTGTCTGAGTAACTTTCGTAGCATTCTCAACGAAGGAATCAACAATAGTTTGAGGTACACGTCCTCTTTCTTTGAAACTTAAGAAACATAAAGCATTCGCTCTAGATAAATTGTCCTGGTCAGCCATAATGTCAAACCCTTCTTCCTGTTCAGGGTCTGTATTATCAATCTCATGATTTTGATTAGCATTGTCGTTTCCCCTATCAGTATTCAACTTTGCGCTGTTCCTCATATTGCGCACGATGTTATGTTTTCGAATAAGGTGATTTCTCAATGATAAAAATTTCTTAAACGTCCTGGCACAGCCATCGATGCCACAAACAACATGAAAATTTGGTTCATCACGATGAACACGGCCAATATGTGTTATTAGTAATTGAAGAGAATCTGAAACGAATTCTAGGCAAATATTACATCGATATAGACGCTCCATGACATAATTCACTTGAAGAATACAATTCACTTCTGAAGAGAGTCGGGAACATTTCACACCATACTAACCAAATCATTATTATTGCAGCATGCTAAGTTGATGTTCGAATAAATGACTTCATTTTTTTTACTCAGGTCCGCGGAATCCTGGCAAATGTTAAAGCCAATAAATTAAGCTGTTTTAGTAATTAAAAAAAGTATTTGGAAAACGTTTTTAACAATGGATTTGAATGATAGTTCTCATTCGGAAAGCGAGTTTTACTATGCCGACGAGCTTGGAAATATCGTGGAAAATGTTAGCGACAAATGGTAGGCTGAACCCCATTGGCCAATTTTAGTGGTACAAGCTTTCCATAGCAAGCCTAAAGCAAATAGCACATTTCAGCAGATTTATACGAATCAATGCATAGCACTTCACGTATGATATCTATATCTTGTATCTAATAGCAGATAAATAAAGAAAATATTGAACATAACGTTTAAAAAATGCATCTTTACATACCTTTACATATTCGAACTCAGACGTAAAAAGTGGACGTATTTGGTCACAAATTTTATTCTTCAACGTCCTTGAATCCCAAGCAGTGTCAACTGGAAATCCATGCACAACATTCCTCTCCGTTTCAAGAGTGACACGAGCGTTATGTGTTGGAACCTGCCCTTCATCTGGATCTGGTATATACACTAGGTCCTTATAAACAATTTTTGGGATCTGATCTGCCTTACGCTTTCTCATCCGATTTTTCTGGGAACGTGAAGTACTTGAGCCGGAAATTGAAGGCCTCGTGTTCCTCCCTGGACAAGTGGGAGTTGTTTCCTGGTGGCTGTTGGTGTTGTAACTATTGTTTATTGTCGTTGTTGTCGATGTCGGTAATCGTAGTGAAGGAAATCTTAAGCGAAGTTCCTCGTTCACTACTGATGTTTGAGATGGTGAATTATTCCTCGAATTTGATTGTGGGTTAGTATGCTCATTAAAGTCGACACCAGTTAGTCTCGCAATCTGCGTAAAGGCGTCCTGGAGAAGATGTCTTCTTTGAATTCTACTTTGCTGGTCCGCCATTTTAGATTATTTGCAAATAGCGGGAAATTGGTTTTCACCCCACGATTTTCAGGTGTGTGGCGGGTAGACTATGAATTTAATTAGCATGAATTTTTGCACTTAGCATGAATTTTTGAACTTAGCATGAATTTTGAATTTAGCATGAATTTTTGAACTTAGCATGAATATATTTGAACTTAGCATGAATATATTTGAGCTTAGCATGAATTTATTTGAACTTAGCATGAATATTTTCAGTTAGCATGAACATTTGCAATATAGCAGTTTTGTCCGCTTCAGCGCCCCATAATTTACCGTTTATATTTCGGTCCGAATAGAAAAATTGTTCCTCTCGACATCAAAAATGGCCTTTGGCCTCGGGCCGTTTGGGACCTCTGGAAAATATTTTTACATTTATTTCACGCGCGTTCTGATTGGTCAAAGCCCAATCCAAACATCAAATGGCTGTTCTTTTTTCGCTTGAATGGACCTCCCCAAAGTCTTGGTCCGTACAAGCGAAAAAACAACTCGACCAGTATCCTCCTGTACGAACCTCTTGCTCAGTCATTAACATATATTTATCTTTTTAATTTAATTTTGATTTTTTGTACTTGAATAGTTTGATTCAGCTGGTATTTTAAACAATACATCTGATGAGCTGTCGAAGGCATGTGGCATAAAAGGAGGGCAAGTTATAGGAATCAAAAATACATTGGCAAAGATTAACAACTTGGACAAGTTTCTACCAGTAAGAAATGTTCCATCCACCATTGAACCATCCACCCAGAAGATCGCTTTATCCACTAGTCATTCCTTTGCCATAAATGACAATGTCAGCAATTCTTCAGCGTCAATTGAAGAAGCTCATTTTTCAACAGGCACACCCTCACCTACAACATCCAGTACACCTCAACATACCATAGCATCTGAAAAGAGTGGTCAACCTTCACCAAGCATTGTACTTGTGGAAGAAAGGAAACCGAACAAGAACTGGATAAAAGATTTTAAACTTCCTATTTCTGTATGTTAAATAATATACCTCATAATAGGCCACATTCTAATGTTAAAATTTATCTTTTGTATTTTACAGTTTTCTCCAAGAGTGAATGAAGCACTGCAAGCAGGAAAACTTAATGGAAACTTAAGGGATGAGTTTACTAGGGACATTTGTTCTTTTATTAAAGCTCATACGATGTTTCCATCCAGAGAAGAAAAATAAAGAGTGGCGTCCATGATTGTAGAAAAATATACTTTTCTTGTCGATTCACTTAGAGCTGGTACAGTAAGTCATATTCATATTATTTAATGCATAAGATAATCTTTAGAAGAAATCCTATAGCTTTGCTCGTTATCTCTTATAATGTGCAGCATGAACTTTCTTCGTTACAGGGGTCATGGTTGAAAGCAATCACTAATCGATTCAAAAACATGCATAGAAAGAAGACAAAATCAACAACAAGATCTGTTTGTGTGTCTCAAAGTACACAAAAGCAGCTAGAAACAAAAATGAAAAGGCGTAAGCTGTATGATGTTTCTGATATGGATAATGGTGAGACTGCAGAAATGTGCAAGGAAGATAAAAAAGCCATGGTAACCGAGATGACGAAAACAAACAAAAGATATAGACTAATTAAAGAACTCATTGAGTTGACCTACCCCTACCGGCGCCAAAAATTTATAAATGAACCAAAAGTGTTGAATGAACTACTGACTGAGTATCCAGCTCTTCAGCTTGTTTCAGAGGTAAGAATAAATATTTTTTGAACAGAACTATTGCATAGAATTTTACCAGCTGTAGTTGACATCTTTTGCAGTAAACTTGCTTTTTTTTGTAACTTGTATTTTTGCAACTGGAATAGGTAAAAGCAGAATTTGGTCGAATTTTGGCAGACCAAAATGCAGTCAGCAACATGTTTATCCATTAGAATAATATGGTTCAAAATGTAATGAAATGGGCAGGCAATAGTGACAACAAACACATTAAAATATTGATGTGAGAGATGGAGGCCATGCCGTTGCAAAAACCTAATAAGGAAGCTGGAATGTGTATTCAATTAAGTCTGACCATTTACAGAGTTCCAGCGGTGGATTTATGGGAGGGGTGCAGGGATGCTCACTTCTCTAAGCTCTCGTCAACAGCGTGGTGCATAGAGGGATAAAAAATTGCATTTTTCATGACTTTTAAGTTTTAATTAATGCTGAACATTTATTATTATTATATATAAAATATTTAGCGAATTTATTTGTTTCTAACATTCGGATTTTAGTTGCTCACAAAACCAAGCCCCCCACCTAAAAACTCTAAGCTGGATCCACCACTGTAGAGTTTCATCTTAAAGCATGAGCACTTAAATCTACAATGGCAAAATGTATACTGTAATTATTAATCAGTTGGTTGTATATTTTGCAGATATAAGGAGTGCAGTTACAGCATTGATTATTCATGTTGTGTTGAATGAAAAATCCACAGCAAATTGCTTAGTTTTCAAGATCTGCTGCATAAGTAATAGATACCGAAACTATATAAAAACTGCATGGATAAAATTTTATGTATGCTTTAATAAAAATACAATTATATTACTGTCATGACATGACAATATTGTGTCTCACTTTCAATGACCTAATAATTCTAAATGTGTTTATGTTTATGCTGTTGTTTAGGAAGATGACTCTTTTGATGATGAAATAGCAAACACCACCTACCCACGACTAATTGGATCGGGAGAATTAGGGAGTCTGGAGCCCCTCGTAATTGCTACCGAAGGGCAAATTTTTTTAAATCTATCAAAAAAAATATAGAAATTTCATTGTCTATAGTACTACGTCTAGGTACATTTTATGTACTTAATATGGAATATACACCAAAGGCCGGTAACATTTATGCCCTTTTGGAAGCAGTTTTGATGGGCAAGCCTGCAAATGCAAAGAAAAGGGTTTCAGTTCAGAAGTTTGTGAAAAGTTTGGGGCTTTAGAGATTATAATATAGTAGTATTTCTAAGATGTTTTATATATTTAATTATATATATACATTTAACTTTTCTTGTTTCATATATTGACTTGTTTATAGTATGTTTTATGTTTTGTATATATTTATGTGTGAATACATGCATATAAATCATTTGATTTTTTTAAATATATTTATTGCTCAGCATTTTTGTGTCGCGTGTTTAACTGGCCTTACTTAAAACAATAAGAAAAGGGGTTACAAAATAACACCGAATTAAGTGTCATTTTGACACTGGACGTTAAGGGCTAAATTAACACTTTAACAAGTGCTATAATAACACCAAGAATAGGTGCTATTTTAGCACCAAACTCGGTGTTAATTTAACACCAGTAAGAAAATGACACCCGAAATGGTGTTATTTTGTACCTTTTAATTTAACACCACTTTTTAGTGTTAAATTAACACCTTTAAATTTACAGTGTATGTTTTCTGCTGACTAGATTGTCTAATTACTTGATTTTTTTATAATTGTGTTGGGTCATTATTGTGCTTTCTCAGTACTATGTTTTCCTATGACTAGATTGTCTCATGACTTGATCATTTGATAATTATGTTGTCATCACTGTGTTTTCTTATTACTATGTTTTCCTATGATTAGATTGTGTCATGAATTGATTTTTTTGATAATTCTCTTGTGTCATCACTGTGTTTTCTCATTACTATGTTTTCTGTTGACAACATTGTCTAATGACTTGATTTTTTGATAATTGTGTTGTGTCATCATTGTGTTTTCTCACTACTATGTTTTCCTATGACTTGATTAAGTTTAATAATTGTGTTGTGTCATCACTGTGTTTTCTCATTACTATGTTCTCTATTGACTACATTGTCTAATGACTTGATTGTTTGATAATTATGTTGTGTGATCACTGTGTTTCCTCATTACAATGTTTTCTGTTGACTAGATTGTCTCATGACGTGATTAGGTTTGATAATTGTGCTGTGTCATCTCTGTTTTTTCATTACTATGTTTTTGGATGACTAGATTGTCTCATGACTTGATTGTTTGATAATTGTGCTGTGTCATCACTGTGTTTTCTCATTACTATGTTTTTGGATGACTAGATTCTCTCATGACTTGATTGTTTGATAATTCTGTTGTGTCATCACCGTGTTTTCTTAGGACTGTTGTCTAGTGATATGTACGGTGGCCCACAAGTACAAGCACACTTACAAATAACAGCATCCGCGCACAAATTCGAGGATGCACACTTACAAATAACAGCATACGCGCACAAATTCCAGAGTGGTCCACAAGTACAAGCACACTTACACATAACAGCATACGCCCACAAATTCGAGAGTGGCCCACAAGTTCAAGCACACTTACAAACAACAGCATACGCGCACAAATAAATATTCACATTCATGGCTTATTACATGACGTTTCGTAAAATTGGGCTGCAAAAACCGAAAAGATTGCCGGCGAGAAATATTTTATGATTCACATGTTCACAATAGCAATAAGTCAATAACCCAACGATGTTTTGTCCACATTGTGGAAAAGAAAAGGATGAAAATGCAAATTTTTGCGAGAACTGTGGTGCAAGTGTATCAGAAATTAAACCTTCGGCCTCTAGTCAACAACCGTTAACTTTCGAAGAGTACATAAAGAACGCAGTCGCCAATCCTTGCACTGATCGTGGCGATCAACTAGAAAATTCCCACCGCGCTGGTAGTTCGTCTACCTTTCAAACTATTAGAAAAAGGAAGTCAAATGAACGATTAAGTCAAATAAAAAAAAAGGAGAAGAAAGATGAAGTAGTGAAGGTATGTGTATTCAATGTTATGATTATGCCAATTATATAAATTTGGTTAATGAAACTCAATTTTGTGTTGTAGATAAAGATTGGAATAATTGAACTCGACGGTAAAAGACTTAAAATAAGAAGATCTTCTTTACTTCCTGTTGATGTTCGAAAATCAGATACATTAGTTCCTGTAAAGAATGCCGGAGTTCAGAAACAGCTTGCCCACAACAGACATCTCAGAGATCATAATGAAACTGAGTGGCTTTCACTTTACCCTGATATGGATATCGTGGGAAATATTCCAGGAAGCAGTGAAAAATTCTCTGTGGAAAAATATAAAAATGAACTTGGATGTCCATACAGTCGAGTAAATTTGTACATTTGCAAAATGCTTGATTTTGAAGGTAAACACTAAGTTCAAAATAATTCCGGGTATTATTTTTGCATTTAGACTGCTGGAGTGAGCATTAGGGGCATTGCACAAGACAAACACTGGCTGTATTGAAAACTGATATGTCATGAAATAAATAATCAAAAAGCAGTCACATTTTATTGAAGCAACATTTCTAAGCTTCCCAGAGTTGAATGGGCCTATTGACTGTATTTTACTGGTGAACAAAGGTTCACTACTGGGGCAAGCACAGAGCAAAATGCGAAAAATGCCCTAGTACATAAAGGTTAAAAAATGCCTTAGAATAATTATCTTGCAACTAACATTAAACCTTCAAAAGAATATGTTTGTAGGGTTAGTAATTATGTTATATTCTAAATTTAGTAGCCAATGATTTGACTGAAGACCTCGAGGAAACGGTTGTTCCAGATACTGCTGATGTTTTTGAAGATAATTCTGTGCAAGAAAATTCTTCACAAACTATATGTGAACTGGGAAATTCTCAACAAGTCAATGCAACACCAGATAATTTTGTGGAAGTTAATCATGCTCATACCAATGCTGTTCCAGCTAGTCTTGCAAAAGCTAGTCTAGTAGAGGCCAGCCATGTTCAAACAAATCCTGTTCCAAGCAATGTTGTTAATGTTGATAATAGTTGTGTGGAAGCTGTTTCCTTTCAGGTTGATTCATTTTCAGTTGAGCAAATCATTATGGAACCAGGTGAAATGCCTGCTCAAATTTTTCAGGATGCAGGTATAACTAATGATTTGTTACATATGTATCCTATACATTTTGTATATTTCATTGTTTTTGTATTTTAATTTATTTTTTAGATGTAACTGAATCCCTACTAGATAATATTGAACCAGAGCCAAATCTTGTAGAACCAGCTCAAGTTAATTTACCCGAGGAACAATTGCATGTGCTAGATCTGCTAATCCATCGCACAACCCTTTTGAAAGACATGATAACAGAATTTTATAATCCAAATGTATTGAAATCTACTATATTTTTTAAAGTAGTTGATGCAAGAGGTATGTTTGAGGAGGGAGAAGGAAGAGGTGTTGCACGTGATCTTCTTACAGAGTTTTGGCACCTTTCTTATCAGTCATTATCTATTGGAGCATCTACCAAGGTGCCAGCCAGTCGTCATGATTATCAAAAGCTGGAATGGGAGGCAGTGGCTAGAATCATGTTGTATGGCTACTGCAAAGAAGTGTTCCCCATTACATTGTGTTCAGCTTTTGTTGCATGTACTCTTCATGGTGAAGACAGTGTTTCTTGTGAAGTGCTGTTAAACTCTTTCATGGAGTATATGGCTGAAGACGAGAGAGAAGTGGTTGATAACTTAATGAAAAATCGATCAAAGATATGTAAAAATGAAGACTTACTTGAAGTTTTAGGAAGCTAAAAGTGCTATCTCAATCCCACAGAAGAAAATATTGAAGATATATTATGCCAATTAGCTCACCAAGAACTTATCCAAAGACCGCGGTACGTTTCCAATTGTTGGGCAACAATATTGCAATCATTGACAAGTCATCCTGCGTTTTAAGATGTTGCAAGCATTCTTTGCTTTTACCAAGAAAGAAAACCCACGTCCAAAAAGGTTTTGAAAATTCTAGATGCCTCCCCCGAAAATGAGGCACAACGAAATGCATTTGATCATTTGGTGCGCTATATAAAGTCTCTAGGTGGCAACGTAACCGCGTTCCTTCAATTTACCACAGGTTCTGATATCATTTTAGAAGGTCAAAAGTTAAAAGTGTCATTTACAGAACTTAATGGTTTACAACGTCGTCCTGTAGCACACACATGTGGACCATTGCTAGAGATTCCCAGCACTTATCAATTTTATAATGAACTTGTAGAGGAGTTTTCGTCGATCCTAAGAGAAAAAAGTGCATGGTCGTTTGACATTGTATGAAAGTTCTATCACATGTTTTAGCACACTATTATGACATATTATATTGTGTTTTACATTGTAGAAACACTTTTTTTAGTTCACTTTTGTTAAAAAAGATTTTATGGACAATGATGTGGTGTCATATGAAGATGGAGGTTATGGACCTTCCCTGAATATGAAATTATCTTATTTCTTTATAAGATTACCATATACGTTATCGTTTTGAGTTATTAATGTTAAATATGTTTTGTTCATTGCTATTTGCTTTAAGCTGCTTCTAGAAGTCTTTCATATGCCATTAAACCTTCTCTCCATGTCTGGATCTGTCCAATTCGTAACACCTTTTCTGTCGACACATTAACTGAATTGTAAATCTCTATAAGATCTTCGTCGTCATATTGTTTCTGAAAATCTTCAGCTCCAACTGCTTCAGGTAGAAGGTAAAGCTGATCAGGGATCCCCGCATGAGTGTAAAATCTGGATTTGCGTACATAGTGACTGTTCCACGATTCCTTGATTTGGTCAAGTCCTTTTTTTAAAGCCCCGTTCACACGGGGAAATTTTCTTTGACAAATGATATATGACAAATGCATAAGTTCATGTGAACGGCTATCAAATTTTTGGTTACATAGCACTGTCACTAGATTGCCTTCGATACATTTGGTTAGCAGAAAAGGAAAATACGTCGTTACTTTATCTTATCGAGATATTACGTCCTACAAATATCAACTTTTGACAATCGCAAGATGACTCGTTACAAGACTTTAAAGAAAAAGAAACGTTTATGTATTAGTTTGGCTGTTTTTATTTTAATGAAGATAATACGTAAAGGTAAAAAAATGCGAAAACGTAGATGGTGGGTGCGACCATCGGCCACACAAGAACGAAGAGAATCACAAGGTATTGCATTCAATTTGATTCCAGAGTTAAGACGCACAGATATCGCAAGTTTTGGAAACTTTTTAAGGTGAGCACACTTTGTTTTTATTTAATACCGTAGACACCATTTTATTTTATCATTTGTGTATTTCTTTAGAATGGAACCGACATTGTTTGATGAATTGTATGATCAGGTCGATGTTTTTCTTTTGAAAAAGAATACCAACATGAGGGATGCTATTTCACCATTTGAGAAACTATGTGTAACTCTGCGATTTCTTGCAACTGGAGCATCATATAAAGATCTTTCTTACTCATTCAGAATGTCAACTTCTACAATATCAACATTTGTTCCAATTGTGTGCAAAGTAATCTATAATGTTTTGAAAAAAGACTTCTTACAGCCCCCTACAACGCATGCACAGTGGAAACAATTAGCAGAAGAATTTTCTGATTTGTGGCAGTTTCCTCATGCAGTTGGTGCCATAGATGGAAAGCACATTAATATAAAAGCACCACCCAATACGGGTTCAGAATATTTTAATTACAAGAAGTACTCAAGTATTGTTTTGCTTGCTATTGCTGATGCAAAGGCAAGGTTTGTATCATTTGACCTTGGTGCACCAGGAAGTATGTCAGATGGTGGAATCTTTAAACATGATTTCCTTGAATGTATATGCAAAAGCAATGTTTTTCTAATGCCCTCGAAATTGGGAAAAAGACCCAACAATGTCCCATATTTTCTTTTAGGTGACGAGGCTTTTGCATTAAATGTTAATTTAATGAAACCTTATCCTCATAGGTCGGCAATGGGGGATGAAAAGGTGTTTAATTATCGTTTATCGAGGGCTAGGCGAATTGTCGAGAATGCTTTTGGTATTCTCTGTGCCAGGTTTAGAGTTCTTTTAAAGACATTGGAATTAAATGTTGAAAACGTTATAGAAGTGATTCGTGCATGCCTAGCCCTTCATAATTACCTTATATCAAGAAATGATACAAATTATGCTCCTGCTGGATATTTGTATGATGAAGATGAAAATTGTATTGTAATGCATGGTGCATGGAGAAAGGAAGTTGACAATACATGCACAATCACTGATTTATGCAGTCATCCAAGTGAACGGTCTTCTACATTGCAAGCTAGAGCTGTTCGTGATGACATGAAAGATTACTTTTTTGAAGAAGGTGCTGTTCCATTTCAATGGAAGATGACTGAATGATTATGTTAAAGCTAGCTATTTACATTTAATTAAATTCAGTTTTTAGAACCCATAAACACGACGTTTGTGATCATATAATCAAGAAAATTTTTATTTTGGAATTTTTAATTCAAAAAATCATTTTGCTTGATGGATCATGGATGAAAAATGTATGGTTAGTGTTTCTTCACATATTACAAAATAAAAAACAACAGCCTAGAAACTAAACAATCACTATAGAAGAGATTAATTGTTAGAAGAAAAGTACATCACTTAAAAAACTGTAATATCAACATTCTTAATTAATTAAGTAAGAGGCAGTGTACTCAAAAATCAATTCTAAAAATGAAAATATTCAGTTATTAAAATTTTTAAAAAATGATTCAATAACTGGGATGGTACTATCTGTACGTAATGTAGAGTTAGAAACTGTGCATCGAGCTTTTTCTGCAGCTTGGAAAATGGCAGACTGCACAGCAAACTTAGCTTGTCTTTGCCACTCTGGGCTGTTGATGGCTCTAAGGGAATTAGCAACATCCACCCCAAACACATCCCATTCATCCTGTTGATCGTCATTATCTTGGGACAACTTGGTAAGTGCACTTGCTGCAGTCTTCATCCATTCATTTTCTTCTGAGCTTCTTTTTCTTTTTTTTGGATGCATACCAAATGATGTATCACTGCATGTGCTGCCAGTTTCAGAATTTCCATCCATTCCCCAAATTTCATGCTCATTGTATTGGAAATGTCTATTTCATGTTCAATGTTACTACATGTTGGTCTATTTAATTCAACAACATCTTCAAGAAAGAAGCATTCATTGAAAAACTTCCATTTTGGGACATATATTTTAGCTGATCCACAACCAGTATGCTCACTTTTTTTAATTTTTCTTATTTCTTCACGAAAGGTCGTTTGAAGTCCTTGAATCTTAGCTGTAGCAAAAATAAATACTTCACAACAATATTACAGACAACTTGCAGCAGTTTCTGTTTCCAGCTGAATATTGATACTAATTGAGAAATTCCCTTATAGTGACCAGACAATATTCATCAACCCAATTACTGAAGGGCACTGTGCATCATTTCAAAAAATTAAAAGAAAATGTTTAAGAGCTATCAAAGTGTAACACAAATTTAAACAATTGCATTTTGAATACTGTTACCTTTTACAGCTGATAAATCCATTTTGGGAATTTCGGCGCTTAAAATGGTAACTATTTCTTGATATTCTCTCTTCTTTATATTTCTATCTCGGTACGATGTCAGCTTAGAGTTCCACAAACTCTCTCTTGCCTTAAGGGCATCGAGAAGTAAAGAAATACTGCTGTCAGTCCAAGAAATAACATGTTTCGTTGTCCTCGCTCTTAGCGTCGTCGCCATGTTGTTTGATAAAATTTGACACATTTGATGTGATGGTCGTCCAGACTGACAAATTTGATTATTGACAAATTTTATACGACAAAAAAAAGCTAACAACCCAGCTTTTGAACAAATTCATTTGTCATAACAAATTTGTAACAAATTGTTCATTCACACGGACAAAATTTATTTGTCACATATCATTTGTCAAAGAAAATTTCCCCGTGTGAATGGGGCTTAAGACAGGACTAAAGCAAAACCATAGACACTCAAGTTGAAGTACGTTGCTTGTGTCTAAAACCCCTTTAGCTGTCAAATCCTTAAAAAAATTCATCCACCACGAGGCCCACGAGCGACGTAACATGGCCCACCATGCTTCTATTCGCTGATTGCTGTGTGATGATCCATATTGATGAGCATTGACGTCAGAATGTGTGTCCGTACCATCTCGGCATAAGAAACACTGGGCTGATGCCATAATCCCATTTTCTGTTCCCCTATCTGTTCTAAGAATTTTAGGACAGAGTTGCATATTAGATATGCAGTCGTAAAATAACCTGCCCACTACGCGGGGATCATTATTTGAAGGAACTATATTTAACCACAGTATTTTCCTGCTAAATCCATCTATACACCCATGGATGGGGAAACCATACGGTTTAAGTTTGTCGTAACCATCGGCATGCCAGCAATAATTTGGCCCCGGATTCATGTAAGCTCTTCTACGAAGACGGTTAGCCCGTCTCCATTTCGATCCCTCTGGATCCACTTCTCGAAGGGTGGTTTGAGCAAACAAACGAGGAACTTGCAAGCCATATTTTGACTGCAATCGTCTCCACATGGCTCTATAGCCCAACAATTTACCACTTCCATCTAGTTCTCGAACAATGCATCTTCTTACGTGGTCTTTATCAACGGTATTTCCACGTCGGTGCAATCCATAAAGCATAAGCTTATTCAGCAAAGTACTTCTGGAGATACGAATTCCATGATATTTTTGTAATAGCTGTAGGATTGTATCATACGTGTAGTTTTTAGTAAAACAGTTGCGAATGATAACTTCCATAAGTCATTAAAGTAGTGTTTAGCAGCGGAAAGAAATGTCAAGTAATAGAGTGCCGGCTTTTCCTTTTTAATTTTGAACTTACGTTTGTTAGTATTCGAATTTTTGTGCGCGTATGCTGTTATTTGTAAGTGTGCATCTGGAATTTGTGCGCGTATGCTGTTATTTGTAAGTGTGCATCCTCGAATTTGAGCACGTATGCTGTTATTTGTAAGTGTGCATCCTCGAATTTGTGCGCGTATGCTGTTATTTGTAAGTGTGCTTGTACTTGTGGGCCACCGTAGATATGTCTGATGATTAGGTTATGTCACTACTGTGTTGTTTACAAAGTGCGTTGTATGGTAATTTTACTGTCTTATTACTGTGTTTTCTGATGACCAATGACTGCATTGTTTGATGATTGTACTGTCTGAAGACTGTGTTTTATGAACAAATGATGATGATATCTGATGAGTCTATTCTTTTATGTCTGTTATCTGATTATTGTATTGTCTAATAGCTTTTGCCTAACTCTGTTGTCTGATACTCCTTTGTGTGATAGCTCTCTTGTATGATGGCTCTCTTGTCTAATGACTCTATTGCCTCAGACTGTGTTGTCTTATGAAATAATGATGTGTGATGATTGTGTTTTCTGATAAACAGATCAATAGTCTGATGACATAAGGTCGATGGGAAGAATTCTTTAGATTGCACGTGATGTCGAGGAAGTTAATGACTTTTTTGTTAGCTTCGATAGTGATACGCAATCCTTTATTGTTAAACACGCGGCATATCTCTTTTTTGATTTTTTCCCTTTCTTTAGGTGTTGCTTTAGTAATGGCTAGTCCATCATCACGATAGAGTCCTATATTAGTGATGATGTGTTGTAGTTGTGAGAGGAGATAGCTTCCTACAAGTTCGCATGTCTCGGCGCCGTCAAAGCTGCCCATTGTCACGTCGAATGTGGAGTTGTGTTTCTTTTGCCAGGGTTGTTGGTTGTGAATGAGGTATGAATTCTTGGCATGTATGATAATGAAATAATAATGAGAGATGGAAAAACTCGTCATCTGTGATCAAGTGGTTCAACCCCATCAAACACAAACAAAATTTCAACTTCATATCTTTCGATATTGTACACTTCTACCCGTCTATCACCAAGACCTTTTAAAGAAAGCACTTGATTTCGCCTCAACCCACAACATCACAAAACAAGAGAGAACTATTTAACCGCAAAACAATTAAATTAAGTTACAGCTGCATGAACAATACGGAACATATTATCAGTAACCATAACAAACGCATATTGAGAGAACCTGACTGTACTAATGACACCATCAATGACAAAAAAACACAAACTAAAACATGCAACTGCCGACAGAAACAAAACTGCCCACTTAACAGCAACTGCCTACAATCATCTGTCATCTACCAAGCAACTGTTAAACGTTTGGACACTAACACAACTGAGATCTACATCGGACTTACAGAAAACAAAGACTCGACACAGGACCACACTGCATCTTTCTGCCACAAAAAACTAAGAAACTCTACCAAACTCAGTAAACACATATGCACACTAAAAGGCAACAACATCGCTCACGATATCTCATGGAACATCATTACTCACAGCAAACTGTACAACAGCGCCAACAAAAGATGCAACCTATGCCTGAAAGAAAAATTCTTCATCACCTACCAACCACAACTATCATCACTCAACAAACGTATCTCCTCTTGTCGCCATAGACACAAGGCCCTTTTATCCAATTTGTAATCGTACACCTAACTTTTTATGTAATTCTATGTTAAATTTTTACCCTAATTTCCTCTTGTATATATAATCAAGCACATGCTTTTGTATTCATTTAATATTATCCCCTGAAGAGTGAGAAATCACGAAACAGGCTTGTCGGGATAAAATTGTAGTTTTTGTGTATTTTCTTCTTATTATCAATATTTATGCTCTGCTCTTACGCATCTAGCACTGTACTTACGGAAATTCAAATAAACAAAACTTCCCATATATGCATATATAATTAAAAGTAAATGCTAATGCTAGATAATACTATCCTGCCATGATACAGCTCCGCAAGTGTTAAAATATGTTGTTAGAGTTTCACTTTGCACTTTGGCACTCTAAGAAGGATTTCTGTCTGTGTTGAATGGATTCATATTTGTCATGCATGCATCTATTCTCCATGAGCCAGGTGTGACAAGATGATTGTCATCCTCTGCATCTGCTGTATAACCTGATTTCTTCTTTTCTATTATATAGTTATGCAAGCAACCAGCAGTTGGAATTAGATAGGTAACCTTGTCACGACACAATCTTATTGTAGTTAGGAACACACGCCATCTGCTGGCAAGAATCCCAAAAGCATTTTCTACTACCCATCTGGCATGAGACAATCTGTAATAGAAGATTCTTTTCTCCTTATTTAAATTCCTGTGAGGGAATGCCTTCATCATTGTTTTGCTCAATGGGAAAGCATCATCACCCACAATGTGGTAATGTATTTTTGATGAAACTCCTGGAATTTCAATCTGTAGTGGTAGACCAAGAGTTTTTTCAAGAACAGCTTTTTGCAAGCTAGACTCGTTATACATGCCAGCATCTCCTGCACAGCCTGCTGCTCCAACATTAACATACTCAGAATTGTAGTTTCTATCTACAAGAGCTAAAAGCAAAACACTGAAAAAATGCTTGTAGTCAAAAAATTCTGATCCACCACTACTTCGTTGTTGTATGGCTACATGTTTTCCATCTAGAGTTCCAATGCAGTGAGGGTAGTTCCATTTTTTTCCAAATTGGTCTGCATTCTTCTGCACAAGATGGAGTCTGTAATTGAAGAAAATAAAAGCCATTACATCATAAATTTGCTTATGTTAAACTAATGTATGTTCATTAAATGCTTCAAGGACAATTCCAATTCACCATCATGCTTAACAACTGCTGATGAAGTTGATGATCAAATCGATGATCATGATGACGATAGTTTTAATGACCCAGCAACACCAAGCAACAGTCTTGAGAATGAGGTTGACTGTCCCATTTCTAGTACTAAACAGCCAACACAAATAAAGCCAAATAGAAAAAGGCATGCAGACGAAGAATACAAGCTCATGACTCACTTGGCAGAAAACATCTCAAGAAAAAGAAGCAGAGAAATGTCTCACAAGCAATGTAATAACCCTGATGAAGCATTTGGTTATTATATCAGGCAGTCATTGTCTGAACTCCCCCCCCCCACTGTAAGGCACTTGGCACAATGCAAAATTAATGAAATACTGTTCCAGGCTCATCAGGGGAACTTACACATCATAGCACAAAAGTGCCAGTAGCTATGCACCAACATATGTTTCAACCACCTTATGCACAAAACAACATGCACCCCATCAGCAATCATATGACAAATAGTCAATGATACAACACATCTTCCCCGATAGATGGTGGATTGAGCCGTTGTGTTGTTTATGTGTTATCTTCACCAATCTCTAGAGAACTTAATTCAGGTCAAGACTCATCTGCCTATGATAACATGAGCTCTTAATGGATGTTAACAGTTATTGCTAATAATACTGCCAATATTTGATATAAATGTTTAATAACTTGCCTCCAAACATGTTTCCTATAATGAGATATACAAAGCATGGCATGTTTCCTCAACAATATTTGAAATTGTACGCATGCCAATTCCAAACTGAAATGACAGACTGCGAAATGTTTTACCTAAAATGGGAAAATAATAAAAACAGTAAGGGAACTGCTTTCTCCGACCAAGTGTTCAATCACTATAAGTAATTCTACGTACCTGTTGTGAGAAATCGCAGCGTTACTGCCAGTCGTTCTCGAGGTTTTAACGCTGTCCTCATTTGCGTGTCTTGTTTCACAATGTATGGAAAAACATTCTTCAAATATCTTCAAATGAATGCCTGTCCAATCCATGATACTGACAGAACTGTTCAGGATCTTCTACTGCTAGCTCTCTAAATAAATTGTAACAGACACCATGTGTTTTTCTTCTTAAGAGCCACTGTTTCGTGCATAATTTACAATTTGCTGCCCTTAACCTTCTGCGACGTCTTCGTAGCAATAAAAGTAGTAACAGCGCATCTTCGTCCTCTGAGAAATCGTCGTCGTCCAACAATGAGTTCAACGCGTTCAACAAATCTGCCATTTTGTTTTCTCAATCTCGCGCGTGCGTATTTTAGTCATGTACAGCGCAGTTACTGCTTGCTCTCCTCATACGGGATTTTTTGACATTCGTGACAAAATATCAAACTCGTTTGAAATTTGACTCATCTGTCACAAATAACAAATGTTGTTCAAAACTTCTGTACTCACTAGGAAATTTTGTCAATCACACTTGTCACGAATAACAAGTATGCGCGGCTAGTACACCAATGTGCAGCGGGCTTAAAGCGCAATTAGATTCACAACCATTGAAATTCTAAGAGAACATAAATTATGGTATTTGCAGTTGTTTGAATGACCCATTTAGATTGTCTCATCATCATCATCATATCTTTTCGCGCCAGGGCGATCCAAACTCGGGTTGGAAGTTTGGAAGTGTTGCGCGTGTTGTAGCAATCAGTCGAAATCAGGGACGGCACGTGAAGCCTTGCTACTTGTCCCCGATTGTCTCATGACTTCATGAGATGATTGTCTGATGATTGTGTCCTCTGTATACTGTAAAAATTATTTGACATGTTTGCTTCTGTGGGCATTATCTTACGATTTCAATGATCTAAGTTCTCAAAAATATAATTTCCTGCAACTAATGTTCAGCCTTTGTAGGCAAGCGTATAAGTGTCCAGGGTAGCTGTCCCTTACCTTCCCCCAAGAAAAAATGTTTGTTTTAGTTGTATGAAAAATACATGCAGGAGGAAGAAATTGATGGGCAGAATTGAAGTAATGAAGCCTGGTTTTTCATTGTCTAAGAAGAATGCACTGCTGAAGAAAAGAAACTAAGCTAATACTGAGTACAAAACATGATTTATCCGGTGACAGTAACTAAACAATACAATAAGGAGCAACATACATTAACTTGAGTTACAAAAGGCTTATTTAAATTGCATTGCAAAAGTCATAAGACTTGTTTTCTAAGTGAAAAGCAGCTCCACACTTTGTTGCTAGATTAATATCCAATGCATAATTTAACATATATACTGGGGGCTATTTGCCCTCCCACTCCCAGGCCCTCTTTTTTGCTCCACACTGAAACTAATTCTCTCCACGCACAACAGTGACACACACGCACACACTTCTCAGGCACTTATGGCTTTTTTTTGCAATAAATATTTCGTTGCGGATAATATATTCTTGAAGTAAGAATGCCTATTTCAAAATACATTCTTTACATTGTTATTATATTGCTCTACAAATGCACAAAATAGTTTTTACAAAAATAGCAGTTTTTAAATCTTAACTGGGAAATGATATTTTTGGACCCTCGCTCACAAGGTTTTGAGGTTAATCCTCCCAGTGTAAAATCTTTAAAATATCCCTTATTAATACCTCATGTTTCATATAGGCTAAACATCAGCTGTGACGAACACCTGTCATGAATGTTGGGCAGACCTACCATACAAAAAGATTGTCATGTATAGCTTATGACTTATTTTGCTGTATCCCCATAATGGACATTCTTTTTTGTGGTCCTAATCATAATTGTAAGGTAAGTATAAAGTGCTCGATGCAAAAAGGAAAATTAGTAAAAAGCTTACTGAAAATTGACATCAACAGATTGTTCACTTTATACATCAATTATCAGACGGCGAGAGAGGCAATTTTGGAAAAAGGCACAAAACAGGACAATATTCGCGTAATATTTAAAAATTATCGATTGTTGGATTTTTAATTCAGAACTTTAAAATCATATTTCAAACTCGTTTTATTGATATGCTAAATTTGAAAAAAATGTGCGAAACTGCAAATTGTTATTCTAAACTAAAAATATTTGCTAAACTTTAAAAATTGGTTCTAATTATGCAAATTTATGCATGATAATTTTGCAACTGTTGTCAGTATGTTGACATGCCTGTGTATCGAAGAGTCGGACAAACTGTTTTTGATGCAGAATTTCTTTCGTTTTTACAATCTGTCAAATCAGTAATTGTGGAAGTTCATGCTGCTTGTTATACAGCCTCTCAGACTCTAGACCAGTTCAAAGTACTTGAAACTCGTATTGAGGAAATTTTTTCGTCTTTTTCATTGCTAGCAGAAGGAAGAGAATATACATGGACAGTGCAAAAATTATTCAATGAATTTTTAGTTTATGCAAATCAAATCAAAGATAATATCAAACACAAGTGTGACATTCTAAGAAACAGTGCAGAAGGAGTTGGCACAGGTTATACCTGCCCCTTAACACGCACGGGCAGGAGAGGACGTCTGCGTTACACTGTACATAAAATCCAAATAGAATTCCTTCGCGAAAAAAGATTTTCTTGGCTACGAATTGCAAAATTGCTTAATATTTCAATTCGAACGCTTCAAAGACACAGAGAACAATTGGGCATTACTGATGAACCATACACAAATATAAGTGATGGAGACCTTACCCAAGTAATGCAAGAGGTAAGTCTCACAACTCCAAATGTAGGTCAAATGTGTATGGTTGGTGCACTTCGAAGCAAAAGTTCTTATTTTGGGTTATGTATTAAACCAAGACTAGTGATGGCAGGCACCTTTTGTGTTGATTGTGTTTGTGTAGTACTAAATAATTTGGGCAAAATAAATTGTTTAGCCTTATTACTTGCTAGGGTTGAAACTGGTTGAAAAAAATTAGAAATGTTAACAGTAGAAGACTCTCCTTTCAACTTTGCCTGAAAATGAGGAATTTTCTTGTTAGCTTTTTCTAACAAAGCAGAAGCCTTTCTTTTAGTTTTACTGATAAGTTTGAAAATAAGAGGTGCAAAGTGATTTGGCTTAAAGACTTTACTAGAAGTCAATAGAGTTGTAGAACAAAACAAGAGGTATAAATAGTTATATTGAGTAGGTGGTGTTGGTAAAGGAAGACGAGGTGAAATAATTTGGTTGAATAACAACTTAAAAGAAACTTCTCCACAATCAGGATACATCAAAGAAATGATTCTATTAGTAACTGAGGAGAGAGCAAGTATACACAAAAACTACCCCAAATTTTATCTCTACAGTTGCAAAGAGCTTCCATTTTAACAAGATCAAGCCCTGATAAACGTGAATCCACACTTTCAAAACAACAGGACATAGCCAAAACATTTTTTGCACTAACAGAGACCTTGTCACCATGCTTCTCTAAGGTGGAAGTGAATATTGGATGATAACAATAATAATTTGCATATATAAAAACTCTATAGATACCATAGCTCTCAAAGTGTGAATGAGAGCATTGCTTCCAACCAAGGCCAGAGAAGCAGAGCTGTATAGACAATTTCCAGATGGTTCAGATCTAATAAAACAGCAGTCGAAAGATTTCTTGATTATTATAAGACTGCAACAATTTATGCAATGTCAACAAAGCGAGTTAAAAGCGATCATTTCAACAACAACGAAATGACAACAAATCGGCACTTTTGGGCTTAACGTGTCATAACAACTACGCAATTAGGCTTATATTCATTTCTACTTACCTTAATTTAACTAATTTTACCTTAGAGCAACCGATGGCTTCGTATTGTCGGCCTTCACATGATGAGGCAAATAGACTGTCTCAGCATTTACATCACGATACAAAGATCGTCCAATTAAAGGAAAATGCTCTTCAGGCATTAAGAAACGAGAAGAATTATATATACCACATAATTCCTCAAAGGTCTTAAGCAAAGCAACATCATCACTTTTTTTTAAGTCAGAGAGAACCCGATCTAAAATACTGCTAGAGTTAGCCATGACGATCGATAAATATTCAAGCGCAATGAAGCAGACAAATATATTCCGACTAAGTTCGCTACAACAACCAATCAAATCCGAAGATTCGGCAACATCATATACCAAAAATAGATATATCCTGCAAAAAACTAACAATGTTGACCAATCACAAGCTTTAAATTGATATAGATCCTGCAAGAAATCTCCACCAATTACAGCTATATAGCTGGTTCGTCTGGGCAAATCAGAATCACAGAATGAACATAGATCCTGCAGATCCTGCACGATCAGTGGCGTAGCTAGGAAAAATAGTCACTCCCGCCAATCCATCTCGCACCGGAGGTTCGACCCACTAGGGGGGTCCGAGGGCATGCTCCCCCGTAAAATTTTGAAATCCAGAGCCTTGGAAACAGCATTTCCTGCGATTTCGAGGGCGAATTATTTGTTGTACAATAATTTATAAAAACCCATTTTTGTTAGCTGCATTCTTAATGTGGCAATCGTTGAAACTGCAACTAGTTAAAAAGGTACTAAAGGTGGCTCAGAGAAACGTTACGCAGGAGACAATTGTCCCCTAAGACATAATTTACTCATCACTGCCCCTGCATAAACAGAAGAAATTTGTATTAGCACAAAAAATAATATAGTATACGACACTTCTAAAGTGCATAGAGAGAGATTTTTCTTAGCATTCTACTTGTTAGTTTAAACTTGTTTAGATTGGGGCAAGTAGACAGGGATGGATTTATTCTTTAAAGTTATGCTTAATTTTCTCAATGAAGTACCATGTATTATACGAACAAATATCAAAACACATACTATACTCATCATTTATAAAGAAAGGCCAGCCTCCTGGGTTTTTCTACAAATTTTCAACCACCTCGTTATGCAACACCTCTGATTCCTCTTTCTTTTCAATGATATCTTTGTGAATAGATATTCTACACAAAGAGCTAAGCCACCTTGACCCATTCTATTTCTTAAATAGCTTTTACCCTTTTAAGCAAGAAAACGACCTCTCTACTGAAGCACTTGCCACTGCCAACACACCATTGAATTTTAACAAATTTACCACTTGACCTAAACTCGACTGGAGATTAAATTTGAAGATGTATTTAAGAACCTCATTACTGCACTCTTTGTGAAAGTCCTTGTCGTTGTAAATGAAGGAAAGTTGACTCTCCAAAGTTTGGATGTCAAAAAGAGGACTATACTTATCTTTGAGAAGATTGATCTTCTCCTGTGGAACTATGCCCTTCCATGTAGTAAATAGTTAAGGATTTACAAGGTCTTAAAACTCGAACTGATTAATATCTTGAAATCGTTCACTTAACATGCCTTTAATGGAATCAATAATCTCAAAATAAAGCTGTTTGTAATTGTATCTGCTCTGGTTGCTGGTGGGCCTACTTTTTCTAGTGCAGTTTGGTAAAACTCGGTGAAAGCTTGATCTGTGCGAAGTGACACAATAAACTGCTTGAAATTGTCAATCTTGCTTATGCCATAGTTAAAATGGGTTTCCCTATTTTGAAGAATGGAATACAAAATTGTGGACTGTTCTAAAATCCTGTAAAAAACACACTCTAGAAAACAAAAGAGAAAGCTATCAAGATAATGCAGTAAGCCACTTATTTTACTTAATGACTCATCATCCCACCCAGCTGGTTGTTCAAGTACCCCCTCGAAAATATCTAGAAGTTTTTCATAGTTTTTGTGCAATACATTGATTAATCTAGAGCGATAATACCATCTTGTTTCACTAGGGGCAGAAAACTCAAGGTTTTAGATGTGAGAAAAGCTTTTCTTTTTGGGGCATTGCTTGTAAATATGCTGAATGTAGCTATATTAATAAAAAAGATTTTAACAGGAGAAATTGATGAGGCTGACTGGCATAGGACCAGGTTCAATCTATGAGCTGCACAATGAACAAAATGAGCAAAAGGATACTCTTGTCGAACCAATGCTTGAACACCATTGATATGGCCAGACATGACAGAAGCACCATCATATGTTTGTAAAACCAGTTTTTCTTTTATATTAGAATACTCACCAAGTTTATCTTTGACAACTTGTGATATTGCTGTGGCATTTCTGTTCATACTTACATCCACAAATCCTAATTGCCTCTCCATAATTTCACTTGCTTTGTCAAACTGAGCAATAACACTTAGCTGCTCTTTGGTGGAGACATCAGATGCTTCATCAACCTGAATACTCATAAATGTGCAATCATTTATTTCCTTTCTGATTTCATCTTCAATAATTGAATCAAGACAATAATTTGAATTTCTGGGGAGACTCCAGTAAATCTTCTGTCACCAACTATATCAGATTCTGCTAGTCTACTGTGCAGTCGACGCTCAAATACAGAATCAAACTTAGCAAAACATTCGAGCAACTCTCTATAATTACCTTTGTTCAAGCTACCTTCGGACTCATTGTGACCTCTAAATGGCAACTCTTGCTTTGACAAATACAGCACGGCCTCAGTAACAGTTTTTAAAATTTCTTGATTTTGTCTTACCTCCTCATTGTGACGCTGAATCTCATTTCTTCTAGCGAGGGACAATCAATTCGTTCACTAGCTCCATACGTTTTCCATGTCTTAAATGCAGTCAAATGCGATTTAGATTTTTTTTCCTTTTTAGCATCAGACATAATACTCCGCATATCGTTGTAGCCATTCTTAGTCCACGATGGCGATGTTTTTGGGGAAAACATTAGACATGGCCAACAAAACACTTTCTGCAAGGTTGTACTGCCACACAGCCAGTCCTTTGCCTCATACCAATCTCTCTGAAATGCTTCCCTTATTTTGGATAGTTAAATCAGGAGTAGGCCGTTCATGAACGATAACATTCTGTTCGACCGACGATCGAGCAGAGAACGGTTTAGCTAATAAGCTATTTACTAAATCAACATCAGTTGAGCAAATCGCAGTCGCACTTGAAGCCATTGTGTCATACACAAATACAAAATAGCAATTTGAGAGTAAACACAATGGAAAATTAATACCGACAATGACACGTAATTTGATAATCACTAATCGCTGTACTCGTATTAAAAGGTCGAATAATTACAACCTCCGCCAATTTAAAATAGCGGGAGTTCGACTATAAAACAGCAGATTTGAGCATGCGTCAAGTCCCTTAGCCAACCAGAATTCAAAACTTCTTATATAGAATTATATTGTATGTTCCGCCCTCTGAAGATGGGCGGAATACGTGGAGAATCGCGCGAGTATGCAATGTGCGAGAAAAGGCGGTTGCTAGGTTACATAACAAATCTTGAGATTTTGCTGTATTACGATTACGAACCACCTAATAAAAGCGTAAATATGAACGAATAAAACATAATATTACAAATTGTTCGTGAAATAATGTATATCTTATGTCCAAATAGAATATTTATTATTTTTTTGGGAAATTTCTACTCCCACCGGGCGGGAGTAGCGGGACCGCTAGCTACGCACTGTGCACGATACGCTAACCAATGAATGCTCGCAAATTGATCAATTTAAACCAATCAAAATCGGTATATGGACCCAAATCCTGCGGAAATTTTAAAGCACTCAAGTGTTATAATTTAAGGAATACCCACGGAATTTTTTGAAAGTGACACGTTAATACGTTCGTCGCCCGACTTAGTTGACTAAGTTTAAATCCGCCTCTGATTTATCAATCTTTGGTATTTCTGCCATGATCGCTTCGTTATATATGACAACAAAATTTCTCGTTATGTTAACAGGACAAAATTTTTATCTTCTATGTCATTAAATTACTTCCATGTCCTGGGCCTATAACCTGTTTAAATTATGCATGAGTCAATTCCAAGAGTTACCATCCCCCCCCCCGGGAATATGGCCGGGCATTTGATTTTTTTCGTTTTAATAGTTCAATTTCCCCGCTGCCGGGGAAAGGCAAGAAGGGAAATACTCAGCCCCTGGGCAAGCTGCCAATGGCAAATGCCCCGTTTCGCAATCCTCCCCTCCCCAAGGTCTCTTTACATCAGCAACTGGGTAAGGAAAAAAGTACACGATGGTCCGTCTGGATACCAGGAGATGGAAATCGGCACTTAATGTCGCGATTAATAGAAATCAATAGTCAGTCGCGACTCGCATACTCAAATGGTATCAAATCCCCGGGGGTATTATTGCCGGAGTAAATTCAATGAGTGGTGAGAGCAATTCAATACATGAGAATAACATTTTTGATTTTTGCAACGAACGGCGCCTCACACCCGAGTCTCTGAGTCTCTTTAGCCGAGTGAACCATTGAGTTCTATAATACTGGAGCGGCTATCTCAAGCGCGGCCTTAGATATCTGATGATGCCAAAAAAATGGCGGATTTTGTCCGTTGCCGCTGAGATTTACCGAAATTGACCGCTTTTCCGAAAATTTCACAATTTCCCACTCCCTCCTGAAGAAAGAGTGAGGAAAATGTATGTGTGTATTTGGGATTCGGCTAGCAATTTTTTGATGAAAATCACGATAAAAACCTACAATTCGTAACAGCGAGTCAACTGTGTTTGCTTTCCAGTCATCGGCTCCTGCGAGGAAAGGTATTAACTATAAACTATGTACGAAAGAACTCTTTGAACGTTTTTAAACATCGTGTCTAATGTACATGTGCACGATGTGGACGATGTGGTCTCTTTTCAAGGTAAGGAGAAAGTCTTAGAGCCATGTCCAGCCGACAATTTAAAAAAGATAGTAAAAAACAAATTCTGAAGAAACAAGATATCTTGAGATGAAAAAATGTGAATGAAAACAAAACGCGAAGTGAACTGTAAATTTTCGATTTATTTCAAAGTCATCCACAGACAGAATGATAATCCAAACCATGCATACACATATATTAAGAAATGGTTTGTTAACACGGGACTTAAGGCTAGCAAAGAATTACAACTCTTGTCTTAAATTACAATACACTCATTCCACCAGTCTGGTCTCTTGTTTCAATTCATCCTTTTAAAATATGACAGCTCTTCCAACTCCGCTTTCGTAAATATCAAACTATTTAATTTCTATTGCTTGACTTTCATTACTTAATTCATTCATTGTAAATATATATGTGTATGCATGGTTTGGATTATCATTCTGTCTGAGGATGACTTTGAAATAAATCGAAAATTTACAGTTCACTTCGCGTTTTGTTTTCATTCACATTTTTTCATCTCAAGATATCTTGTTTCTTCAGAATTTGTTTTTTACTTAACTCTTAAAGAGTACTCTATAGTCATATTTATGTCCATGTGGTAATGTATGTTAGTGCAATCAGAATTTTCTTTTAATGAAGTTTTGAGAAAAAAAACAATATATAATCTTTTTGTATTTCTGATAAAGATAACTAAATGACAAAAATAACAAATATTTAAAATTTATTTTCTCGTAAGGTTTATTGTACAGTTGCTGCAATTGTTCAGCACGTTTTTGACTGGTAGGTTTGCTTCTTTACAGTGCTTGGCAACATGGCCCAATCTTTTGCATATGTAGCAACGTCTTCCTGTTAAATATTTATAAGGAAGTTGTAGTTCATGACAATTTTTATTTATTTGTGTCATTAGCTTATTTCTGTTAACAATAATGCATGCAACTTGAAGTTTTCAACCATCTAATCAAGCTGATGTTTTATCAATAGGTCAATCAAACTTACTTCTTCTCATACGATTAAACTCTATACAAAAAAAAAGTACATAATTGTCAATTACAATGGTCATGAAAGAAATGTTATTTCATTTTTTGTCATTACTTTTCTCGCATTCATTCATTTTGTGGCCTTTGGGGCCACAATTATAGCATCTTCCTTCATTAAAAAAAAAACAATGGCAATTATCAGCCTGGCATCAAAGGCAATTAGTACATGTATACACTATACCACACCTTTAAATGAATTTTTTGCTTTGGCATTGCTTTCTACCTAAACAAATCATTTGTTAGGTGCTGTTTGATTTGTTATGTGTATGATTAAATTTCAGGTTAAAAGACTCATGGTGAAAGACTCAGGTGAAAAGACTCAGGTGAAAAGACAAAAGTATCATGAGAGAGCTGATGGGCATATATCATATATGAACGAGAACAGTATTGTATACAAAGCACTGTTTACCTTCTTTATTTTTTTGCTTTTCACAATTGGAGCCACCTCAAATAGTAGTAGATTTTTAGCACATTTTGATGCATTGATGTATTGTGTAATAATGCAAAAAAACAATCATTAAACAGTATAACCATTTTTGGCTAAATACACACTTGCATTTTCGTTATCTCTCTCTTCAGTTCACTGACCTGTTTTGAATGCAATTAAACTATTTGAGTGATTTTCAGTTTTCAAAACAAAAACAAATTTTATACACATTTGATACCAGTGTCCATTGCTTTTTCCTCATCTGTATAATCTAGCATCTGGTGTTTTTGTATGAAAAAAATGATAAAGTGTAAATAGATATTTTGCAAGAAGGGATTTAAACCATGTAAATGAATCACTTTTTGTTTACTTCCATGCTGAAAGCTTCTTATGAAGCTTTTCAGATCAGAAATTATTAAATTATTGATCTGTACTAACCTCTTTTTCATCCATGGACCACAATAGAAAGTTGGCAAATACAATAAAAACAAGAAATAAGCAAAGGAAAAGTCAGACAAGTTTTAAAAATATTTATAGTATTTAAAAAAAAAGCGGGAAAAAAATGCAAATGACAAACGCCAATGCTGTATTCTGATTGGTTAACAAATCAAACTTTTTTTTAACTATGAAGAACTAAATATTGCATTGAATTTTAAAGTTTTTTATAGTTTGTAAGAGATGATTCCCATGATAATATACATGTAAATTTAGCGTGCACAAATCGTAAATTGCTGTATCAGTAACGTTGAAACAGGGGTGTAAATCCTGGAGAGGGGATTGATATGTGGTGGCTCAGCCTCTCCCCTTCAAAAAGTTAGCAGTTTTGTTGAGCAAAGCATTACATTTCTTGTCAAAACACGTATTGCTATGTGCCAGGAAAGTGTTATCAATGTTAGGACCACTAAATAGTTTTCTTATGTCGTCCAATTGGGCTGTTTAGTTGAGTATTTTTTTCTGTATAAAAAAATAAATAGTTCAAAATGAATATTGTGCTATTGTTGTTCTATGTTCTACTATGTTGTAGAGGAATACTCACATAGAAGACTTGCATTTCGAATTACTTCTCATTCTTTTTAATTGTTTAGTTACGTAAACTAGGTTATAATTTCATGTTACATTTTTAAGCCTCTAACACAAATGTGCAGGCACCATTAAATTTCTCCTCGAAACACATATTGCTATGTGCCAGGACCTACAGCCTCAAAAATGGAATAGTCAAATGAAAAATTCCATTTCTAGGCACAGGCAAAGCCTCGAAAACACAATAGTGTCCAGGCAACGTTCAATCTACTGATGATTGAACAACACAAGCTTAGACAGCTTTTTACGAATTTTCTGACCATGCAACTTATCGTTTTGCTTTTGGTCAAGTGATGCATTCTTATTTTCACAAATGCCTTAGCACAACACTTTATCAGTTTATAAGCATGATTATCTGTAACTGTCGACTCTAACACATGCTCATCTAACATGCTAAAACTTTTTCTCTACACACACAGATAATACCATCGCAGCAATTGCACTCGATATGTTTGCTGCTGCATGTGGCAAGCCACCATGGCAGGAATTTACCATCCTCATTACACATTTCTCTGTTTCCTGACACACTTTCAGAAGATCGTCAGTTGGTATTTTTAAACCACCGTTGCTCTTCCATGCCACAAATAGTTCTGGTGCTCTTTCTTTAGATGATGTCAGAGCATCCATACAATCATCACAATGGATCTTCCTTTTCACCATTTTTGCGACATACCCAGCATTTGATTTGTCAATGATAACTGTTTTGCATCCTTTGTCAGCTTGTAATATGATTATTTAGTTGTCATTTTGTAGGTTTTTAATTGCTCTTAGTTCTTTGTTGTTCATTGTAACTGGTGGTTTGTGGCAGAGGTTAGTGGTGATTTTGTGACAAATGTTGAATTTTGTTTGGTCTGTTAAGTTGGTGTATTTTAAAGCAGGTTCTAGGTCAGGAATGTAGTCCAGTTTGTTCGCGTCTTTGAAGTTGTAATTTAAGCCTTTGTGTAGAATTTTAGTTTGCTGTTCGTTAGTGGTTTGCTCGAGATGTTACTGACCCATTTGTTTGTGTCGGGATGGAGTTGTTTGTATGATCTTGTTTCTTGTAATATTTTTTGGATTTTGTGGTGTTGTTTAGTTCTATAAGTGGATGTTGCTTTTTTGATGGCTTCATTAATGGTTTGGCGTCTGATTGTGTAGTGTATCTTCTTACCATTTCTTGTAGTTTATGTTGGTAGATTTGTAAGTGGTTGTGGGCATCTGATTTGAGGACATGTAACATATGGTGGCCATTTAATTGTGCAACTTGTTGAGCATAAGTTGTTTTTAATGGTGGTTAGAAGTTGATGCTGTTTGGTAGGATTCGTTGTTGTTTTCATTTGTGTAGGAATTTAGCTGTTCCAATATCGATGACTCCTAGTATGTGAATAATTCCCATTTTCTCATTCTTCTGAGAATATGCTAGATGGAGGATTCTTGGACGACCAATGGAATTTCATCCACAAAATGTAGTTGATATGTGAAAGAATGTGTTGCTCTTCACAACTTCCTCAACAAAACAGATGCCACAAATGCGTCCACTTCTTCATATATTCCATCAAACTTCACTGATACAACCACTGCTTTACATGACACACAAGAGGGAGAATAGAGGAAAATTGTTGCACATGATACAAACTTACTAGATATGAGATGGCTGTCCAATGCAAGGTCATCACGTGCTGCAATAGCTGTTCAAAATGACTTAAAGAGTTATTTTATGTCAGTTCATGGGGATGCTAACATGGCAAGCAAATGTTGTAAACAGAGGATGTCTGAGGTCAAGACCCTGAGCATATTTTGAGTACACATTTACAAAATTATTTAAAGCATTGTCATAAAATACAAAACTCAATGATTACTACATTGAATTGATCCATGTTTATTTTGCCTTTAGCTTTATCAGCATAAAACCTTCACAATAAAAAAGCTATTTCTCTTTACAACAAAACTAAGTTGAATACGTCTTAATATATCTCCATGACACATTCACTGCATAAATACAAAGTTTAATTAGTTAAAGTCACTACTGTAAAATTTCTGTTCTATTTCAAATAAAATTTTATTAATAGCAAATTGCTTCTGATTTCAATTAATAGCGTAATTGCTTCTGATTTCAGTTGTGGTGGATACTTCTTCAGTGTATCTGCTACTGTTCCTGCAAATCTTATTTCCTCATTTGAGCTATGAGCTTTTTTTCTTCTCTTAATGATTTTATAGAGTCCAGTCTCTCTAAAAGTGCTGACGCTGTGGGTGAGGCAGCTCTCTTTTTGGACATTTTAGATGAGGATGGTGGCATCTCACATCTGTCTTAACTTAAGACTGGCCAGGTGATGTCTCTCGGATAGCCAGGAGAATTGCTTGTGAAGGAGGAATAGTGCCATCACAAAGAGAGATCCTGGAATGAGGGGTACTGGCCTTACAAAGAGGGTTACTGGCCTTAAATTAGAGGTGCTGGCTTCTGGAGAGATAGATTGCAAGTCTTCTAGTGATATATAGTTCTTACACTGGTAGGAACCTCTTCAGTACCCAAAAGTTGGGCCTCGATTAAATAATCTTCGTTACGGCAATTCTCAGTTAGATTCTATACATAAATGTGGCAGAGTTCACAAAACTACATAATTGACATGATTACTTGAGTTACCTCTGATGAGGGAAAATTTGAGTCAGTCTCACAATGTTTGATAAAGCTAGACAAATATGACAGGCTAATGACAATAGCAGGTATAATTTTTCCGCCAGGATCACCACTCTTCAATTTCAAGTGCATTTTGGCTTTCATAAATCAGTCCCGTATTTTCTTCCATTTTTGTCTGCAAAGAGCATCATTTGTTTCAAGCTTTTTGGCAATTTCCTTCCATGAATTTGTAGTTTTTTGTTGGTCTTTATAATCCTGTATAGACGAGTCATATATATGAGGATATTTCCTAACTTCTTCTGCTAATATTTCTTCGAATCCATTCATGATTTAATATTTTTCCATATTTGCGTTAAACATATTCTGAGACAAACACAAATGACTAACCATGTGTGATTAGATAGCGAATTATCTTGCGTGACGGTTCGACAAAATGTCTGCGGCTTAACAACTATTTGCGAGTCGCATGTGTGCGACAATATGGTGAAATTATGTCAAATGTTACTTCCGTTTTGGTGATATTATGTCATATTCCTCATGCAACATGGCGCGCAACACTTGTCACATGAAGTATAAATTAGCCTTTAAACTTTGTACTTGTTGCCATAGTCATACTCTTGCTAAAGCTCTCTATTTTTTGTGACGTTAATTCCGTGCCTATCTTCTCTTATATAAATCTCTATATCGTATTCTTTGATATGTTTCTTGATGAAATGTGCTTTTATGCAATTTCTATTTAAAATGTTTTCCTTGTTTCATCCTCCTCCTTAACAGCAGGATAGAGCAACACAGGCATAACTTCAATCTTTACTTTCTCTTTTCTTTACTGTTACAAAATGTATATTTTAATACTTGAAAGTCATTCCTACATATCAGACAGTAAAAAAATCCTTTTAAAATTAATTGTTTCAAGCAAGAGCGGTGTATTATCCAAACGAATCATACAATCATCATATCTTCTTTGCATACATGATTATTAATTAATTAATTTGTGTAATCCAATTCTACAAAACCACATTTTATGCAATGATAAGGATTTTTTGAATAATCATCATAAGCAATACAAAGTCTACAAAAATAGTCAGCCATCTTTTTCTTACACTTAACACAATATTGATGAATTCCTTACTCAAATTCACAAAAATTAAAGGAGTAGTCAGACCTTAACAAAAGTTTCGCTCATATGAAAGTGTATATTGTTCTTACCTCTCTCGCGAAATCCTAGGTTTCCAATTCACATTTAACTCGCGAAATAATGCCTTATTTTGTGTGTATTTTTGCCTCTT